CGGGAAAGGCTTGTTTCAGACTCTGAATCTATTGCAGATAATAGGTACTCCTCTTTATCGCTTATCCTACTGTTTTTGATTTGTTTTGAAATCAATTTACATTTGCTCTGTCACAGTCCTTCATCTGTAGGAGATCACTCGATCATTCAGACAACCGCCTTGCGAAGTATCTTTGTCAATCAGATTTTGGTACATATTCCCGTCGGTGACTTCTATTTAGTTGCTTCCGTATATTTTCGCATTATCGGTTGGATCGATAGATCGAGTGCACTTACACACACACACACACACACACCGGGAATGTATTTTTGTTTGTTTGTTGTGCACACAGGTTCACATCAGTGCTGCATCTCCATTCCCCCCCCCCACATACACACAGTCCATCACCCCCTACTGTGGATTTCATGTGAACATTCGGAATACAGTTTCACTCTCATTTCATCTATCTCATGTCAAGGTACTTTAATATTGTGCATGGCGCTATCACACAGTGTTTTTACGTTACTTTTATTCAGCTGTGTCTTCATACAAGCTATCGGGCTCGGTGTTCATCCAAAATTAGGGATTGAACTTTTTCTTCTACGGGGGTGACCGGTGCAACGAACAACAGTGGTTTTTTTTTGTTTTTGTCTGAGTTGTTGAACTATAATCCAGTCAGTAACTAATCGAACATTTATGATGCCCGTTTCCACCCGATTTCAGTTCTTCTTCTTGCATAGATTTCTCTCCAGATTTATTCCGATACGTTTTGAGAGATTTTCTTTTCGTGACCAGTTCGGTGCACACGTGCAGTTGGTCTGTTGCCAATTCCTTTTTAATCTATGACTTCATAACTACGAACGGTTCACACACGATTCTCGTTCGTTTGCATTCATATTTGACCTGTGTCGTGTGATCCTATCTCGTTGGTGTGTGCGTGTGTGTGTCTGTGTTACTACGTGTTAGTTCGCACGGTCCTGACAATCCGGCCCTGACTGTCTCCTATCTGGGTAAAATCGTCATGTTTATCGAGCTCCGTTGACCTCGTCATGTCACGGCCAAAATGACATAGAGACGACTGTCAAACGGCGTGTCGCGGCAATTCCGTGGGTGATCCACACTTGTTCCCGGTTGCTCTAATTTGTCTAGTAAACAACGCAAACAATCGGTTTTGTGCCCTCACGTATCGTGTGTGTACATACTGTATCACTGTCCATACACTGGGGTATCTTGCTCCCCCCCTCGCGCCACCACCACGACGAACGTAATAGAATAGATTCGTGCAAATGATTACAGTCCGCATTCGCCGGCCTGAGAAACTGTAATATGAAACCCAAGTGATGTTTTTCAGATCTCTCTTACAGTCCTGTTGACCGGAGCTACTTGAATCGGAGATCCATTCTATGTTTGAATCTTCTATTTACTGTCATTAAATAGATCATTTTGTACGATCAATGGCCACGTGAGTGTGTGTGTGTGTTTAGGGAGGTCCATCAAGAACTGGAGACTAGGGCAGCGTTAACAGAGTTCAAACAGAACCTAGGGGTCCATATCACAGCAAACTATATCCCTCTTCGATTGTTGTTTCTCGGTTTTTTCAGGTTTGGTGGATCCTATTGGATTTTAAACATCAACTCAGATTTCAGATTTGCCGATACTGTCAAGATACACTACAAACCATGAACATTAAAACCGTCGTTTTTACTCTACAAATAACTTCCAACCCCAGCGAACACGGTTGTACCCGGTATTTTTAGTTCAAGGTTTCATTATAAACTGTAATACCAATTACGTTTCATCGTGATTGTACACAGTGTGTACGGTGCGGTTTCGCGATTAATTCTACCTAGGTCAATTATCATTCTAGCTATGGTCCACACATCTGTCGATCTGTAGGAGAGAGAGAGAGAGAATGACGGGGAGGAGCTAGCAACACAACAGTTAGGCGCTGTTTGGCGCTATCCTTAAACATCATTGTGTTATCATGCCGGATTAGATTAACTGGGGTTTGTTCGGTGTCTAGCATCGCGGTAGTCGTCTGGTGGTACAAAGCGAGCCGGACCACTATGGTCGACAGAATTCGATATATATATATATATATATATATATATATATACTGATAAATGTGGATGATAACGTGAGGGCGACATCGGTATGATTATTGTGTTTTGTCAAAACTAGTCATACGGGTTGAATAACTTTTTTCTCGTCCTTTCTTTTATGAGAATTTCTACGAAGCATTCGCTTTGTTTTCTTTTTCCACCTGATCGGTCACCTGAAGGTTGGAATGCGTTCATTCGCATAGTATGGAAGACAGATATTGCCTGTCAGTCTTCGAGTACTGCTGCCATTGCACCATTATACATTGTAGCCATTCTTTCCGTGACAAAGAAATGGCTGCCACCGGAATACTCCGTACGATAATGTAGCAAACATCGCATTCATTACTGTTGCTATTGAACTGTTTAGAGCGAGGTTTTTTAAACACTAACGATGTTAACAAAGAGCTTTTGTCACCTCCGATTCGTAACTTGGATAATAATCTACTTATCAATTTCAATATTCAGTTGTGCATTACGAACTTTTTATTCTCACAGATATGCGTGCTACTTTGTAACTGAAATAGCCCACATTTTTCTTGTCTGCCAAAAAGTACCATTTCGTGCAGAATAGAAACGTGAATTATGTTTTGCTCTGCGTTCCTGCTCCCGTATCGTAATGCCTAGGTTTGCGGTAGAATCTTGTCAACCCGGTTACCGATGCTTTTTCGGACATTAGGACAGCACGAACGGACGGTGTGTCCTAGATTTGCCGCTCGTTTGTCTTCTTCAAGGCGCTCGGGATTTACCTCGCTGTTTTTATCCCCATCTAACTGCGATTGGAACACGATCATAACCAATAAATTCCGTTCATGCATGTTTCCCTCAATCCCGATTTGATTTATGTCCGATATGCTCAGTAGATGACAGGATCGATTTTCTCTCAGGAATTCCCGTAATATTTTTTTCGAGTATCGAGTTAATTTTATGCGGACGTATGTATGTATGTTCGAGCCCAACCACCGCCTCTCAACTTTGGTGGTAGACAGCCTCGGTGTCGCTCGGTTCTATAACATGCCTGACTTAGAAGAGCCTTGTGTGGTTCGCCACTCCAAGTCCCGGGTGTAGGCTGCTGGTGACCATCACTGAATAGCAGGTATTCGTGATTATGGGGTTCCACCATGTTTGCTATGCATCACACAGTGATAAAAAATCTATGTATGCGTGTTTTGTTTTTCTTTAGTGGGAATCAACCTGAATATTGAATTATTTATCGGTTTTCTTCTGTTTGATTGGATAAGAACAGTCGCCGGATAAGAAGAATCATCCTGCCTGATCGCCTAATAATGAAACCTAAGCACAGGAGCTTATTCCTGGTCCTGACATGAATATCTGCACTTGCTTAGCGGTGACTCTCTGCTAGTTTGTTATTACTAGCTATTCCGTCACATCGGCTTAGTTTTTCAAATCAAGCCACATCTTTTTTATCAGGTTTGCATGAGAATAATTGGGTGGTGCCTTTGTTTTGCTCATTTTTCTCTCTAAGTTTTGCCCAAGAGCTGAGAGATAAAACATTTTTGGTTTCCGTGTTTGTAATCAAGCCATTCGGTCTCACAAACGTGAGTCGTGTTTTCGAATCTCATGACTATCACCGAATTCCCCGTCTCTCCATAAATCCCTTCTTGGCTTTTGATTACCCACAGTTATTTTGTCAAAATTCACTTCGCATTCTCCTAAGAATAAGACAGAATTAGAAGTCATTGAATTGAAAATCAACTGGGACAGGTAACGCGTAACAAGCTGTTTCAAGTGCACACTACCCAGTACTCGTGCCTTGTTTCAGGAAATTCACACAGCTTTTAATCGGGTCTGGATTCACAGCAGATAGAGTGCATATGGTCTACCGAAACTCATGTTGTGCCCTTACTGAGACTCAGTCTGTTCGCCAATATACACCTCGTACACACAATGCGCAAACTGTCTTTTACTAGCCGAGTCTGCATAACGAACACGAACCGTTTTGACACGCGGGATTAGTTTGTGGTAGAACGATGAAAACTCCCGCTTTTGCATACGGGTGAAGAGTTTTGTTAGCCCCGATTTCGGAAAAACAAACAGAATTTGGTACTGGGCCAAGAATCACTCAATTCACTTTCTCCGTGTGATGATGATGATGATTGTGACACTGATATCACACTTTCCTTTTCCCACTCTTGACGTATTATTCCGATACCTCGCCAATCTCTGAAAGTTCAAACGGACTGTGTGCGCTTGTATGTGGGTTGCATTCCTTCGGCTGTGTTGCGATTAGAGGCGCGCACCGGGCTACACTAGTTCACAAAATTCACAGTGAAGTGAAATTTTCAAGCAACGAAAATCCAACTGGTCAAAGCAAACAACCGCACTCGCTTCATCCGTGTGATCAGATCGCCCGTGTGTGTGCTCGTGAACCATTCCCGCCTCATTCTTAGCAGACTTCTCACCCTATCCGCAGTCTCCCTACAACTAAGATTGATTTTATCCAGCTACAGCAATGAGTCGCATGCGTAAACGTTTTTGTTGCCAGTTTCGACAAAATCTGAACGTTCATATATTTTTGAATACAGGGAATCAAGTCAAATCTGTTAGGAGATGATTTTATCCCAGTAGCGCGAACGTAAACTGACCTTCGAAATTGTGCAATGAATTTTCCCGTTAGGCGCTACTCCAGATTTATGAAACTGGACCTGCTGACCCGAGTTTTATGTACCTCGGGAGNGCTGGAGGAGATGTTGGGCAAGAGATCATGTCAGGAACCACAAGAGTTAGAGCAGCTCTTTCCAATCTGCGACACCCAGGCAGCCTTTGTATGGCAGCGACCCCTTTCCTAAAAGTTGACTGCACACTTGTGTATTCAATAAACATAAAAGGCAATAAAAAGACATTCTAATTCATCTATGGCGCCACTATGACATCGAACTCTCCGGTTGGGGAAGGGTGTACATGTTGTGCCCCAGGTTAGGTAGGTAAATAATCACGCGGCAAATGAAGCAA